GGCTGAGAATGTAGCTCAGTGGTAGAGCACCAGTCTAGCACAAGGCACTGACACCAAACTTCAGTGCTGCAAGATTTACCAAGAACCATGCAAGAGAGCAATGCAAGAGTGGGCAATGGTGTACTGCCTACCTGCAAAAGAAAAAAAAAAAGCAAGACAAACAAACAAGGTATAATTAAAAGGTACATTTAGGACAAGTGTAGGATTTAAAGAACAAGTGAAGGGCCTGGGATATAGCTCAGTTGGTAGAGAGCTTGCCTAGCATGCACAAGGCCCTTGGTTCCATCTCCAGCATAGCATAAAATGCTGTGCATGGTGATGCATGCCTATAATCCCAGGACAGAGAGCAGAAGTTCAAGGATATCCTTGGCTACACAGGGAATTCAAGATCAGCCTGTGATACATCATACCCTGCCTTAAAAAGCCTGTGGCACGATACCCTGCCTCAAAAAAGGGTATGCGTGAAAACACAGGAGTTGTAATATTACTGAAAATTAACAAGACAGAACTGGTACTTTAGGTGAAAATCATTTCTAAGAATGGATACATATAACTAAGTCATGTGAATCAGGTAGGGTTGACACCACTGCATAGAATTCAGACTTCACAGATGGAGCCATGCATCCTCTCAAGGACTCTTCTCCTTCCCTCAGAAAGCCTCTACTTTCTTTTTTTACAATATTTTAGCCAGGAATGGTGATGCACACCTTTAATCCCAGCACTCAGGAAGCAGAGGCAGGCAGATCTCCGTGAGTTCAAGGCCAGCCTGGTCTACATAGTGAGTTCCAGGGCAGCTGGGGCTACAGGGAGACCCTGTCTCAAAAAGACCAAAAAAAAAAAAAAAAGAAATTTATTATTTTTCTTTTATGTGTATGAGTGTATTGGCTGCATGTATGTGAGTATACCCGTGTCATCCAATGCCATGGAGGTCAGAAGAGGGCTTTGGATTCCCCTGGAACTGGAGTTAAGGATAGTTCGTAGCCACCATGTGGGTGCTGGGAATCAAACCTTGGTCCTCTCCAAGAGCAGTCAGTACTCAACCACTGAGCCATCTCTCCAGCCCAGAAAGCCTCCACTTTCTAAGAACTGGGACTGTCAGCAGTTAGAATGCCACCATTCCCTTCTTCCCTCTTTCCAGCCCCGTTCTTGGTTTTCAAAATGAAAAAAGGAGGCCGGGCGTGATGGCACACGCCATTAATCCTAGCACTCGAGAGGCAGAGGCAGGCAGATCTCTGTGAGTTCAAGGCCAGCCTGGTCTACGTAGTGAGTTCCAGGACAGCTGGAGGTACAGGGAGGCCCTGTCTCAAAAAGACCAAAAAAAAAAAAAAAAAAAAAGAAAAAAGGAACTTTCAGTTGAGTATCACTTTAAAATGCTTATTTAAAAAACAGAATAGTAGGCTCAGTGGGAATGGGTGTGTACCACCAAGGCTGATGCCCTGGGTTCGATTCCCAGGACCCACATGGTGGGGAGAAAGAATCAACTCCCACAGGTTGCCCTCTGACCACCACCAAGATAAAAATATGTAACCAAAAAATTCAAATGATTTTTTAAAAAATATTTTATTATTTTTGAGTGTATTGCCTGCATGTAAATAAGTGCACCCGTGTCGTGCAATGCCAACGGATGACAGAAGAGGCCATCAGATCCTCTGGAACTGGAGTTATAGACAGTTGTTAGCTGCCATGTGGGTGCTAGGATTTGAACCCCAGTCTTCTCCAAGAACAGTCAGTGTTCTTAAGCACTGAGCCATCTCTTCGGCCCCTTCAAATAGTTCTTAAAGAATTAAAAATACAAAAACTAGACTAGCAAGGGTGGGGGGGTGCAGTTTAGTGTAGAGTATTTGAATGGCATGTACAAACCCCTAGGACAATATCCAGTACATCAAAAAAGGGCTGTTCTGTTTTTTTTTTTTTTTTTTAAATGGAATAGAGTTATGGTGGTATACAGGGAGGCTGAGCAAGAAATCACAAGCTTGAGGCCAGCCCAGGCTACACAGAGATCTCTACCTGATACTGTTTCAAAATGACAATCCAGGAGATAGGAGATGCAAAACTTAGACAAAAATCAATGAGCTAAGTAACAGAGAGTGGAGAAAGCAACTGTCTGGTTTCTGTTTATTCCTCACAAAATAATTTTTAAAATAGCTTAAGTGAGGCCAAGGACGTAATTCAGGGGCAGGTGTTAGTTCAGTCTCCAACTCCACAAAAGAACAACAACAACAAAAACAAACAAAGGGCCAGCTTTTAACCCACGAGGGTTAAAAGCGCTTGCCACTTGACTGTTTGATCCCTAGAACCCATGCATAAAAACCACATGTGGTAGCTTAGTCTGTAATACAGCTACATTACTCTAAGGCACAACAGAAGGCAGACAGAAGAATCTTAAAGGGCCAACTCTACCCACATTTGCTAGAAATACCTTCTTAAATTCAGTCTTCATCAAATAATAAAAAATGCAGTCTCCAAAAGCTCAGTCCTACTTTGACAGATGCTTCCAGTGATGACTCAGATGCATGTGTATAAACACTGCAATTTCTGTTCAGATTTCTACATCCTAAAGCTGTGAAAGAAGGAAATCTTAGCATGATCTGCTTGTCTCTCAGCACCGTTCATTATAACCTACATATGTCTATTTGAGCTGAACCAGAATGACTGCATTCTAATTATGACTGGTTCTGGGCTTATGAGACTGATGGTTTGTGATGGCAGAATTGCAAAGCTATGATTCACAGTAAGTTGTTTTTAAAAAGAGCCAGTGGCAATTAAAAAATGTAAAAACAAAACAAAAGCTTATTAGAAAACTGCAAGAGGAAATGGAAAGAGCTGTTTCAGAAATGGTGAGAACATGATCACAACGAAGTGCACAGCAGGGAATTAACAGAAGCCCACAAAGTGACACAGTGAGCTTCAATAAGAAAGTCCAGGCTGCCTCATGGTAACAGTTTTCAGCTCACTGCAGAGACTTATCCAGGGCCACTCCAACCAACTAGTCTTCCTGTGTGCCTCATCATCTTAGTCTCTTCTGCTTAACCACAGCACCCTCCCGTCCTGAGAAGGGAAGGGTTGAAAGTGCAAGCCACCACCAGTCACCACCATTCTTTAGCTATGCTTGGTAGCCCTTCAGAACACCCCACCTCTTATCAGAGGCTTTGACAATTTGACTTGCCTCTCAGCATCTCTTCTCTTAAGCATCTCTGGCCCCCAACTGGAGAAAAGGGGAACATGCACACTGTGATGGGCCAGTCAATGATATAATGGGACCAAATCCACCATCCATTTGTCCATGGGCATTTTGTGAGGCCGCATGGACAAGAATGACTGCATGTCATAAGTTAGAGAGAAAAGGAAGTTCTAAAATTTAGAGTTGCCCAACACGGGATATCCAAAGAAATATACCCTTCTGACCACCTCACCATCCCTTTACCCACAAGGGAAACAGTGATGATAAGGTCTGAAGAATGAAGACTGCATCTTGGAGCTGGAGAGATGGCTCAGCGGCTAAGAGCACTGGCTGCTTTTGCAGAGGACCCAGGTTCAGTTCCCAGCACCCACACACGGCAGCTAACAACTGTCCTTAACTCCGGTTCCAGGGAATCTGATGTTCTCATCTCCGTGGCCACTAGCCATGTACATGATATACTTACATACATGAAGCCAAAACACTCATGCTGTTTCCTGGCCCAATTTGAGGCAGTTGGGTTGACTCTGCTCTGAAGTCAGCTTTAGTCCAGCAAATGTTCAGGACACTGGCTCACCTCTCAGAATGCCCAGTTCTAGACTCGGCCAGTCTGGACAGATCTTCAGGCTCATTTAAGAAATGCTTCCTGTGGCCAGTCCCCGAACTAAACACCATATCATCACTTCCCAGCTACTCTAAGTATGATGGTCCACATCTTCAGAGGCAGATGCCATGCTTTACAAAGCACGGTGACACAGCTGTAGAGCTGAGAAGGGTTGCCTGTGCCCATTCAACTCCTAAGCTAAGATCTTTAAGCTTCTCTTAGCTACGCTTCTAACCAGGGCTGAAAACGCTTTGGACAAACGAGAAGCCACCATGCAAGAGACTGGCCTTGAGCAGGGCCGACTGCCCCACTTAACACTCGCTGCTCTCCCCTACTGCCCTTCTTTCCTTTTTTTTTTTTTAAATGTGTATGCGTGTATCGCTTGCATGTAGGTTAAGTGCACCCGTGTCATGCAATGCCCGTGGAGGTCAGAAGAGGCTGTCAAACCCCTGGGACTAGAGTTATGGACAGTTGTTAGCTGCCATGTGGGTGCTGGGATTCAAAGCCAGGTCTTCTGCAAGAACAACCAGTGTTCTTAACCACTGAGCCATCTCTGCAGCCCCCTTTCCAGTGTTTATGTCTACATTCACATTCACTCTTTTCACAAAGACTGACCGTGTTAGAGCAGTGCACTAACAGTTGTCCCTGCCCTCATCTTGTTACGCTGTACTTCCAGCCTCTAGTGCAATCTCTGGTAGTAGCTGCAACGGACAGCAATGTGTTCCAAAGAACTCCATCCGTGGGGCTGGAGAGATGGCTCAGCAGTTAAGAGCACCTTTCCAGAGGACCTGGGTTCAACTTCCGGCAACCACATCAGGCAACTCTATGTCCAGTTCCAGGGTGAGCTGATACTTCTGGCCTCTGTGGGCAATTGTACTCAAAGGCACATACCTACACACAGACACACACATACACATTATTAAATATATAATAAAAAAACTTTCAAAAAAATTCCATCAGTGACATCCTCACTAATAGGTCAACACTCCCCCACACTGCTGTGATTCCCATGCAGCGTTCCTGATAGGGCAGTCTCGGTGCTACCATACACAAGGCCACTACATGAAAACAAGTAAAATTTCTGACACTCCAGTATGGTTCCTGTTGGAACAATGCATACTTTAGATATCTTTAGGGATTTACATTTCTGTACAGAAAATAAAGCACAAGATGGCTATAATACTTGTTGTAGGTGGTGAACGCATGTGAGCAAAAGGATTTAAAGTCAGTTTTTATTTTAGAAATTAAAAAAAATCTAGTCGGAATTGGGGTCCTTCTTCTTTCTTCGCGTCCCTGTTTTTTCTTTGCCCTGTTCAGGGTGCTGTGCCAGCCACTCTTTCTGGAGCTGCTTCAGCATGTCTGGGGTAAGGAGTCCCTGCTGAACCAATCTGGAGGCCAGGGGCAGCTCCCCAGTGCTGGGGTCCAAGGGAGCCTCAGGTCTAGTCCCCACACTTTTGGTGCTGCGTGTCCTTCTTGTCTGGCTCTTTAGGGTTCCCGACATATGCATCTGGATCCCTGAGGGCAAGTTCTCCAGATTCAAAAACTTGTGTGACTCAGAAATTCTAATCAGTTTAGTGATATTGTGCACGCCATCTTGGATAACGGCATCCAGTTCTTTCTGGAGGTTTCTAACAGGGCCGGTATCCGGAAACATATCCATAAATCGGTAGCTGGGAAAAGGACAAAAGCATTACTGCAATAGTTCAGTCAATTGCAACAACCTACTGTTCCAACACTAACAATCCCTGTGTTCTACAGACTCTATCCAGTCCCTGTGCTCAACCTTGATTTCTGCCCCAACACAACAAGGCTGAGTCAGCACCCATCTCAGGGGATTCTAGTGTGCTCTGCCACAGGAACATGTTCCTCCTCTGAGTAGCTCTGCTCCAGAACAAGGCTCCTCAAATGTCAAGGTACAAGTTAATAGGCTGGGGATCTTGTTAAAATGCACAATATGGGCAGCATGATGGCTCAGGAGGTAAAGGTGCTTACTTCTCAAACCTGGTGACCTCATTGGATACCCAGAACCCAGGAAAAATATGGAAGGAGAGAATCAACTCCACAAAGTTGGCCTCTTAACCTACACACACACATTGTACATATGTGCCCCCCATCATACAAACACAAAATTTTTTTTATTTTTGAGATATTGTTTCCCTGTAGCCCCAGCTTGCCTGGCACTCACTGAATAGAACAGGCTGGCCTTGATCTCACAGGAATCTACCTCTTGAGTGTTGGAATTAAAGATGTGTGTCACCACACCTGGCTATAATTAAAAATTTTAAACATGTAGAAGAAGGTCTAGGATGGAGCCAAGATTCTTCTAAACAGTCCACTGGGTACCAAAGTTTTCAGACCGAGGACCATTCTCTCAGCAGCAATGGTCTAGCCTGCCTTCTCACTGGTCTATCTTAGGGAGACTCATTAAGAACTCACTCAAGTCTTTTGGAAATGAGTATAAACCAGACTCAAGTATCTCCATGGAAAACACAACACAGAGCACCTACCAAGTAGGTCACCAGTTTGAAAGAAGAACTCCCACCCATAAAATCTTTGATTGGCCCTAGCGTTTAGAAAAAATGAGAGCATATAATGGAAAAGGTTTGGTACCTTAGCCACAGGTAGAGATCAAAGACATCGTGGACAGCTTCAAGATCCATGAGGTCTTTAATATTCTTAGGTGGAAGTAAGGGCCACTTGATGTATCGGCGTAACCATGCCAACGTCAGGGGCTCATTCCTGCTGTACTGCCTGGCAAACTGAGAGAAGTTTGGTAAAATGAACCAGAAACCTCAGGTTTGAAAAGAAAAAGGAAGACAACACAGTAACTGTTGTTGTTTCAAAAGACAGACTTTAATCCCAGCACTCAGGAGGCAGAGGCAGGTAAATCTCTGTGAGATCAGAGGCCAGTGTGACCTACACAGCAAGTTTCAGGCCAGCTGGCAACTACAGGGAGACCCTGTCTCAAACTAGACAAAACAAATTAAAACAGGGCCAATGAGATGGCTCACTGGGTCAGAGCACTTTCTGATAAGCCTGGTGACCTGAGTTAGATCCCTAGAACACATGGGAAGGACAGAACCGACTCTTGCAAATTGCTCTCTGACTTCCACATGTACAATCATGGCATGCTTGCCACTGCACACAAAATACATAAATAAATAAATAAATCATTGTTAGGCATGATGGCATGAATCTGTAATCCCAGTACTTGGGAGGCTAAGGCAGGAGGACAATGAGTTCAAGATCATCCTAGGCAACAGAGCAAGATCCTACTTCAAGTTAAAAAGGCAAGGGGTCTGGCTGTAGCTCAGTGGTAGAGTACTTACCTAGAAAGCACAGGCCCTAGGTTCAATCCCCACTACCAAAAGGAAGTCTTTTTTCTTTTCTCGAAAGTCAAGGCAATAATGTGTGTATCAAAAGTTGTAGACTACCTTGTTAAGAGATTGAATGTAAAATGTCCTCCATAGGCTCATTTGTTTGAATACTTGTCCCTAGCTGGTGGCACAGTTGTGGAATCTTTAAGAGATGGGGCTGTGCTAAAGGAAGATGATCACTGGATGTTGGCTTTGAACTTTGAAAGCCGGACCCCACTTCCTGTCCACTTTCTGCTTCCCAAGTACTCCCACAAGATGACTAGTTGCCTCACACTCCTGCCACCATGCCTTCCCTGCCAGGATGAACTGCATCCTCTCAATTGAAAGCCAAAATAAACCTTTCCTTAAGTTGTTTTTTGTTAGGTATTTGGTCACGGCAACAAGAACAGTAATACATCTGTTAAGTCTTATTTATGGGTATGTGAAACTCTGAGCTAGGGGCAGGTAGTTCCAGAAGACACATTTCTCCCTCATCATGTCCCATATCCTCAAACAGAAGCTTAATTTTCTCTATCTTGTCAGTATCCTCCTTAATAAAATGAAACTTTTTGAGCTGGGGGTATAGCTCAGTGGTAGGGTACTTGTCTAGCATGCATAAGGGAATGGGTTCAATCCCCAGTACTTTAAAAAACAAAACAGAACAAAAAGAAACAAAAGAAAAAAAAAAATCCTTTGAAGGTGTCATGTTACAAAGCCGGTTGTGAGTTGATCCTAACTCTGCCTCCTAGTAGCTGTGTGGCCTTGGCCAGGTCACCACTCTGCTTCTGCTTCCTCACGCATAACATGAGACTACCTCATGCCTGTCTTGAACCACAAGACACTGGAAAAATGTGCTCTGAAAACTGTGCTGTAATCCAGGCTGGGTAGGGTACATCTCAGCACTCAGGAGGTTGGAGGTAGGAGGATCATGAGTTAAATTCACTTTTGGTTACACAGAGACTCTAAGGCTGGTCTAGGTTACATACAACTCTGTCTATAAAAGAAAAGGGGCTGCAGAGACAGCTTAGTGGGTAAAGTGCTTGCTAGGCAAGCATGAGGACCTGAATTCAGATCCCTCCAGACCACTCACATAGAAAGCTAAGTACAATACACATAAGTAATCCCAGTGCTTGGGAGGCAGAGACAGGTGGCTCCCTAGAGCTCACTGACCAGACAGCCTTGCTAAATTGCTGAGCTTCAGGTTCAGTGAGAGAGCCTGTCTCAAAACATAAGGCAGAGGGGCTAGAATTGGCTCAGTGGTTAGGGGCATGTATCACTCTGGCAGATGACCTGAGTTCAGTTCACAGTACTTATATCAAGCAACTCACTACTTGATAACTCCAGCAGTAATAGTAACTCTAGCTACAAGGAATCTGCCACTCTCTTTTGGACTCTGCAGGCAACCACACACATGTGCATGTACCCAATACAGACACAGATATGTACACATAATTAAGGTGAAGAGTGATAAAGGAAGAATCCCCACATCAACTTCTGGCCTCCACATGCATGCACACCCCACCCCTCCACATACATGTACATACATTCCCACCCCTCCATATGTATGCATACCCCCCTCACCCCTCCACACACAAATACATGAATAAAAGTTTAGAAATCTAAAAAGAGAAGGAAAACCATGCTGTACCTCAGACATTAGGCATTATTCCATATAACTTGTACTACAAACCCCATGTTTCATTTCTAAACTAAGGCAAATTATCTCTGTTTAACCTAAGCAAAATCAATACTTCAGAGAGGCGAGGACATTTTAGACCAACTGTGGCTTAACACTGTTATGATTTGCTGGAGGTAGTGTTACAGGCTTCTAATTCTAACACTTGAAAAACTGAAGTAGGAGGATTCTGTGTTCAGTCAGACTGGTCTACATAGCAAGTTCAAGGCCAGACTGGATTATAAAACAAGACTCTAGGGGGCTGGAGAGATGGCTCAGTGGTTAAGAAGCATCTGCTTAACTGCTGCTCTTGCAGAGGACCCAGGTTCAATTCCCAGCACCCACATGGCTGCTACGAACTGTCCTTAACTCCAGTTCCAGGGGAATCCGGAGCCCTCTTCTGACCTCCCTGGCATTGCATGACACAGATGCACTCACATACATGCAGGCAATACACTCAAACACATAAAATAAAAATAATTTAAAAAAGCCAATATGGTGGTACAAACCTTTAATCCCAGCACTCAGAAGGCAGAGACAGGTAGAGATCTGTGAGGTCAAGGCCAGCCTACATCATGAGAGCAAGTCTCAAAAATACAAAACACCACACACAAACACACAACCCCACCCCCAAAGAACAAAGAAAGAAGGAAAAAAGGAAGGATATAAATAAAGTTATGATTTTATTAAATTCAGTTGGGTACATCCCATTAAGTTTAACAAAAGACAAGTCGGACAGCCACGAAGGATGGAAATGTGACCTGCTGACCTCTGTGAAGTAGGACATGCATGAGTTCTCGAGTTCTCTTAAGCAATGACTTTAGTAGTTTTAGCCACAAGCAAGAAGTAGAAGCATAAAAGCTAGGTAGGAGGCCTCCCAGAGCGCTCAGGGAGAGGCTCACCCACTGAGACACGTCGTTCTAGCAGCTAGCCCTAAAGGAACTCTGTAGAACAAAATTCCAAAATCACCCTCCCAAGTGGCACCAGAGGCCACCAGGACCATTGAGCTCTTTATCGTTCAGGAATGATAGTCTCCCTTCCAAAAGGAAAAATCTCTAGAATTCACATTCTAAACTCTCAACAGAAGATTTGAGCAACTGCTGACTTACACTGTTCCAGAGATTCCTCTTACTCCGGCAAAAAGCTCCTACTTGGTTGGAACAGTTGCTTGATGGACAATGTAAACAAGGTCAAGGCCATGGGAGCCAGCTCTAGTCAGATGACTCCAGCATACAGCAGCTGAAGACTGTCCCATAACCTCCCCCCGCCCCCCCAATATCCTGGCTAAGTTCCACCAATTCCAGCAACAAGAAACGTATTTTCTAGGAAACCTAAACCCAGATCTCTAAGACATGCTATTAAGAGAAAAGGAAAATGGCAGGCTGCAGAATAATTCATTATCAATTGATGGGAAAATGCACCAACGAGACAAAACTGGGATTCCTACGGGTACATGTATACAGAGAGATGCAAAGGGAAACACATATGAAGACATAAACTAACAGCAGGCAGTTCTTCCAGATGCCTGGGCCAAGGGATGGCAGCCAATTTCAACCCATCTCTAATGTATTAATTTGGCTTAAAAAGAAAGTGTATTATTCATATATTTTATAATAATTTAAAAGGTAAACTTAGAGGCAGATTTGGTGGAATAGAGCCCATATGCAGAACACTAACCCTGCAGATGGCAGTGAGTCGCCAGAGAAGAGCCTGGAGTTCAGTGGGGTAGGGAAGGCATGCCAAGCAGGAGCTATGGGTATGCAAGGGCACAGGCAGGTAGGAAACAGCTCTACTGCTCTTCCTCCCAGAATTCTGTGCTCCTCTCAAGTCACAGACCCACATCCCACTGCAAATGGGTAAGGAAACTGAGTATTACCGCCACCTTTAATCTGAATCCCTCTAGCCACTGATTTAATTATTTCTGTTTTGGCTTTTTCACAGAGGCTACCATACAGGCTCAAGTACAAGGCAAGGGTGTCCCTCAAAAATTATCAGGTCACTTTAAGTTTTTTTTAATAAAGTTTCTCATACTTCAGAGTACTCTACCAAGTGTTTTACTTTGAAGTATTGTTTGGGGAAAAACACATCAATTTGGGACAATTCAAAGTAACATAAGCTAATGACGCACCTGTAACAGTGATGAGCAGACAAAAGGCTGCTTCTTGTTGATGGGGGCTGTGCAGAACACATACCTCACCCGTAGACTTAGCGGAATATGCTGGATCAACTCTGCAGAGAACTTAAAGTCATCCATATTGCAGACAAAATACTGTCCATCCACTTGTGAAAAGTCTACAAAAATATCCTGGGAGAAAAACATATAGGAAATTACTGGATGCCTCACTGGGTGTGAAGAAAGTAGTCAAATCCACAGAAGACCCCTAGCATGCTTCCAGAAAGCTGTTTTAAATTTCCCCCAGTCTCCCTAACTTGAAAAATTGGGCAAAACTCCTAGATAGCTGTTTTTGAGACAGTATCTCATTATGTTCCCCAAGCTAGCCCACAACTCTGAGGCCTTCAGCCTAAGCCTCCAGAGTATTAGGCTTACAGGGATGAACAACCACATCTTGCACTCCCAGAGTTCTGTGTTTTCACAGCAAAATAAATTTCACATGAAGCAACTACACAAGGCAGACTAACCACTTCCCCCAAGAGGTGAGCCAGTCAGTGACATAGATGTGCATTTCCACTTACAATGAGGTTGGACAGCGTTGTCTCAGGGAGATGGTAGGCAAACATTTCAATCTGCTCAGCAGTTGGATGAAGACCAGCTGCCTTCAGCGAAAGCAAAAGATGAGATAACCATGAGCTAATATTTTCTCACTTTTAAAGTGATTTTCTTCTAAAATAATGTCCTAGGTTTAGGCTAAGATCTCCCCAAATGAGTTCCATGCCAAGAATTTCAGTAATTTCAGGTGAGAGACATGACCATTTTTGCCATTTATTGCCAATTAGAAATGCTGATAGAATTAATAGAAATGATAGATTATATGTATAGTCTTTGGGTTATATTTCAGCCCTATTTCTAAAACCTACTATGATCTGACAGAATACCAAAAATGCCTTAAGGATAAAACAATTCTCCAAGTTTCCAGTGACTAAAAACTAGCAAGGAAACTCCAGTTACTTTAACCATGGCAATAAAATTTACATACACACATACATACACATAGAAGAAAATGTCTGCACTGGAGGTCAGTTATCTCTTTTTACAACACAGTGTTTAGCAATGCCCACAGGTAAGAATAAGGAAAAGAGTGAGAGAGAAAAGGTGAGGGGAGAGGTCAAAGACAAAGTCCCAGAGAGGGGCATCTTAATGTAAGAATGAGGAACGGGGAGAGGGCAGGGGGGCCAACTGCACAGGAGACACCTAGAGACTTAACACTCTTTTTTATTTATTTTTATTTTACATGTATGAGTGTTTTGCTTGCATGCATATAGATGCACCTATATCATGCAATGCCCTCAGTCAGAAGAGGTGTCGGATCCCCTGGAATTGGAGTTATACACAGTTGTTAGCCACCATGGGGGTGCTGGGAACCAAACCTGGGTCCTCTGCAAGAGTAGCCAGTGCTCTTAACTGCTGAGCCATCTCTCCAGCCCCAAGGAAAGCCTTCTTGATACAGTCTCCCTGACACAAAATTGTTTCTGAGGCAAGAGATGGGTGCAGGAGTGACTGTCCTCTACATAGAAGTAGCAAGGAACATGTTACACCTTACCAGTATAGGATCCACAGGTTTATTCAAAATTTCCTTTAATAGACCAAGGTCCTCACGATGCATTGTTGTAACCTCTCCTTCTTTAAAATGTGAGCCGAATCTACCGGCTCTGCCAGCAATCTGAAGGGCTTGCGAGGTGGTAATTGGTTCTAGTTCTTTCTCTCCCTTTTCATTGATACTGGGCTTTATAAGGGAGTAAAAAACAATTCTCCTTATGCTCCTGAAATAGAAATAAAAGTGATCCCACAGACTATACACATCCCTCTGTCACCTGGGCCAACACAGAAGTTCTCAGTCTGATTCTCATTTAGGCCCATCTAATCTTGCAAACATTTAAAAACTGAGGAAAAGTCAGGCATGGTGGCACACACCAATAATCCCAACACTTGGGAGGCTGAGGCAGGAGACCTATTATGAGTTTGAGGGCGGCCTGGGCTATACAGTGAGTTCTAGGCCAGCTTGGCAACAGAAATACAAAACAAAGTTTAAAAATTAAAAATAAGAAAAAGAGGAGGCAGAGGCAGGTGGATCTCTGTGAGTTCCAGGACAGCCTGGGGCTACAGGAAGACCCTGTCTCAAAAAGACCAAAAAAAAAAAAAAAAAAGAGAGAGAGAGAGAGTGGGGAGTGGTAGTGCACACTTTTAATCCCAGCACTTGGGAGGCAGAGGCAGGTAGATCTCCGTGAGTTCAAGGCCAGCCTGGTCTATATAAGAGTTCCAGGCAGCTGGGTCGACAGGGAGACCCTGTCTCAAAAAGAGCCCCACCCCACCCCAAATAAGAGGCTTGTTGGTAATTCTTCTTCCCTTCAAGCAATATGTTTTTAGGGGTTTTTTGTTTGTTTTAATTTGGTTTTTTGCTTGGTTTTCCTATAGCCTCAGCTGGCCTCAAACTCACAGAGATCCTCATGTCTCTGCCTCCCAAGTGCTGGAACTGTATGTAGGACATACCACTATGCCCAGCTCTTAAGCAGTATGTTTTAGTAACTGTGTATATTTACAAAAAAAAAAAATAATAACTGCACTTTGAGTGGGTGAACTATATGATACGGAAATTAACAAGCTACAGAAAATGGCTTCAAATAAAATGTTTTCACACTATGTTACAAAGTTAACCATGCCAGAACAATGGCAGACCCTGTACTCCTAGGTACTTGAGACGCTGAGGTAGGATTGCCTGAATCCAGCAGTTTGAGGCCAGCCTGGACAATACAGTGATACTACCATCTAAAAACAAAACACTACAAACAAAAGAACCAAGCCAAGAGCTCAAGGACAGTTTGGGCTACAGAGTAAGTTCAAGGGATGGGAAAGCCTGTGCAACTTAGCAAGACTGTTTCAAACACGCACACACACACAGACACACAGATTTAGAAGCTAAGAACTATTGGTAGTTTTTTGATTCATAATAGTCTAGTTGTCTTTGTTACAAAGAGCAGAACATTAGGCATAACACTGCCATAAGTAGAGATAATGTTTAGTGCCCCCACCACCCAGCCTTCATACAAACACACAAGGGCTTGAACATCCAGTGACTAAGAAACTGAAAATTAGTGAGGTAACACTTGGTCATTTCTAGTAGAGGGTAGCACTCAAAAATCCTAGTGCTAGCATGGTGTGGTAGCACACACCTTTAATCCCAACACTAGGGCGGCAGAGGTGGGCAGATCTCTGTGAGATGGGGATCAGTCAAACCAAGGTCCAAGCCAGTTGGTGCTACAGGAAGACCTTATCTCAAGAAAAAAAAAACCAAAAAAAAAACCCCCAAAATTTTAGTGCTGTCAGGTGTGGTGGTGCACACCTTTGGTCCCAGCACTCAATAGGCAGGGGCAGGTATATATCTGTGAGACCGAGGCCAGACTAGTTTACATAGTGAGTTCTAGGCCAGCTAGGGCTACAGAAAGACCCTGTCTAAAAAAATTTTTAAATAAAATAAAACGACCGACTATAACCCTAGATCCAGAGGAACCAGTGACTATACCCAAGGGGTTGGGGAAGAAATTCAATGAAGGTATAACTGTGGAAAAGTACAGCTATATCAAGAATGTGAAAAGAAATAAAAATGACAGGATTCAATAGACATCTTTCATTAATAACTTTAAATATTAACGGACTGAACTCCCCAGTCAAAAGACACAGACTATGTGAATGGATTAAGAAACAAAACCCATCTTTTTGTTGTGTGCAAGAAACCCATCTCACTTTCAAGGACAGGCACTATCTTAAGATGAAAGGATGGAAAAAAATATACCAAGAGAGGTATTAAGAAAAAAGCAGGCATTGCAATTCTAATATCTGACAAAGTAGACTTAAACTAAAACTAATCAAAAGAGATAAAGAGGCCCACTTCATTCTGATCAAAGGAACAATAAATCAAGAAGATATTACAATCATGAACATATATTCACCAAACTCTGGTGCAAGGCCTCTTCATTCTGATCAAAGGAACAATTGACCAAGAAGATAAAACAATCATGAACATATATTCAACAAACTCTGGTGTACTCAACTTCATAAAAACAATACTACAGGACTTTAAGACCCAGATTAATCCCAACTCATTTATAGTTGGGGACTTCAATACCCCAATATCTCCATTAGATAGGTCAACAGGGTAGAGCATTAACAGAGACATCTGAAATAAACAATACCATATATCAAATGGACTCCACCCAAGCAACAAAGGACATACTTTCTACTCAGTGCCCCATGGAACCTTCTCCAAAATCGACCATACACTGCAGCACAAAACAAACCTCAACAAATACAAAAAGGTTGAAATAATTCCATGCATTCTATCAGATCACAATGCAAAAAGCTTACAATCAACACCAGAAGAAGTCCTAGTCGAAATAAAAGCATTCCCGGAACTAAATGAAAAGGACATAACACAACAAGACCTCTGGGACACACTGAAAGCGGTCCTTAGATGGAAGTTTATAGCTATAAGTGCCTACATTAAAAAAATCAGAAAGAACACAAATAAACGACTTAACATTGAAACTCAAGACACTTGAAAAGCAACAATAAATGAAACCCAAACCCAGCAGACAAGAAATAACAAAAATCAGGACAGAAATTAATGAAATAGAAACAAAGAAAACAATACAAAGAACGAAGGAATCCAAGAGCAGGTTCTTTGAAAAGAAAAACAAGATTGACAGACCGCTAGCCCACTTAACCAAAAGAAAGAGTACCTCCAAATCAACAAAATCAGAGATGAAAGAGGAAACATCACCACAGACACCAGAAAGATACAGAACATTATAAGGGAATACTTTAAAAACCTATATGCTACTAAATTTGAAAACCTAAAAGAAATGGAAAGATATCTAAAGGCATGGGAACCACCAAAACTAAACCAAGAAGAGATTAACA